GGCGGCCATCTGCCTCAACCGTTGGTTTTGGTTGTTGTATGTGCGGAAGGTTTTAGTTGGCACACACATGTCATAAACTGATGTAAGATGTCACAGTGTCAGTTAGTTCGTCCAGGTCAGTGGCTGCAGCCTCAAAATCACCCAGTCAGTGCAGTCAAAGCAGGCCTGTAACTCCAGCTTTGACTCGTTGGTCCATCTTTTCACAGTCTTTACAACAGTTTAGCAGTTTCTGTGCACCAACATTCATTTATATAGAAACAGAGTCCGCCTCCCCTTGTTGTTGATCAGCGCAAATGAGATTAAATCCCGTTAGGTGAAGTGCGCTGTCCGGGATGTGCTCGGTGAGCCAGGATTCAGTGAACAGAGTGCGGCAGATCTGCAGAAGTCCGAGTTAGTTCTGTTGAGGAGCAGCAGTTCGTCCATTTTGTTGAGAGTGGACATTCGGCAGGTGAATTGAAGGAGCGTGGTGCGAAACCCCCGCTGTCTCAGTTTAACCAGCGCGCCTGCTCGTTTTCCCCTGCGCCATTTCCAAAGGATCCCAAACAGAGCTGCTGCTCCTCTAACTAATAACTCCGGGAAAGTTCCTGATTCGTTAAGGAGCGGTGAAATAGTATGAGTAGTTGAAAGTCTAATATTTAAGATCTCTTTTCTGGTAAATGTTACCAGAGTGGGACGGCAGAAAACAGCGTTAATAAACAAAAAACAAACAAGCACTAATCTTATGGAGCGTAATCCAGAGGCTGCTGTCTGCGGAGAGCCATCTTGATCATCAAAATGTGGTTTTAAGCAGAAAATGTAGTATTTGGTTAATTGTGTGAGGTAGGTGTGTTGCTGTATTAAGAGTTTTGATAAAGTATCTTAAGTTCAGGTAAACGCTTGTTAGCAATTGAAAATTGAGTCCTTTTGCTCAGAATCAGAATCAGATTAAGAAGGAGCTTTATTGCCAAGTAGTGTTTTACACATACGAGGAATTTGCTGTGGTGATAAGGTGCTACACGTAGACAAACATACAGTCAACGTAAATAAATGTAGAAATATATAAATATGGAATGGAAGAACAACGTTGCAGATAATACATGTGCATTATTCTGGGTCTGTGCCGTGCAGAAGTAACGCAACGGAAGAGAATATTGTGTACATATAAATATATAAACTGACAACATAATATACAACAACAAAGATCAACAATCAACAACAAATATGTGCGACGTACCAGGTCTGTGCCCGACACGAGATGAAACAGTATTTTCATGTGCAGAGACATTTGTATCATTTGCAAGGGGGGAGTGTCAGTAGGGGACCCAGGCATTGTTAATGAGGCTAGTTGCAGACGGGAAGAAACTGTTTTTGTGGTGAGAGGTTTTTGTCCCTGCGATGGACTGGCGACCTGTCCAGGGTGTACCCTGCCTTTCGCCCGATGTAAGCTGGGATTGGCTCCAGCCCCCTGCGACCCTGTACGCAGGATAAGCGGTTGACGATGGATGGATGGATGGATTTTTGGTCCTGATGGACCGCAGCCTCCTGCCATTGGGGAGAGTCTGAAACAGTTTGTGTCCGGGGTGGGAGGGGTCAGCTGCAATCTTTCCTGCTCGCCTCAGAGTCCTCGAGGCGTACAGGTCCAGAAGAGAAGGAAGATTGCAGCCAATCACCTTCTCTGCAGAGCGAATGATACGCTGCAGCCTGCCCTTGTCCCTGGCAGTGGCAGCAGCGTACCAGATGGTGATGGAGGAGGTAAATGTAAATGTAAATGCTCCGTACTTGTATAGCGCCTTTCTAGTCTTTTCGACCACTCAAAGCGCTTTTACACTACGCCTGAACTTCTTCAGCTGCCGCAGGAAGTACATCCTCTGCTGGGCCTTCTTGGTGAGGGAAGTGATGTTCAGCTCCCACTTGAGGTCCTGGGAGATGATGGTGCCCAGGAAGCGGAAGGAGTCCACAGTGGTGACTGGGGAGTCACACAGGATGATGGGGGAGGGTGGGGCTGTGCTCTTTCTGAAGTCAACAACCATCTCCACGGTCTTCTGAGCGTTGAGGTCCAGACTGTACTGGCTGCACCAGGTCACCAGATGGTCAATCTCCCACCTGTAGGTGGACTCATCCCCCCTGAAATGAGCCCAATGAGGGTGGTGTCATCCGCAAACTTCAGGAGCTTGACAGACTGGTGACTGGAGGTGCAGTTGTTGGTGTACAGGAGAAGAGAAGGGGGGAAAGAACGCAGCCTTGAGGGGAACCGGTGCTGTCCTGGAATCAGAGACATGTTTGCCCAGCTTCACGTGCTGCTTCCTGTCTGTCAGGAAGTCAGTGATCCACCTGCAGGTGGAGTCAGGCACATTCAGCTGAGAGAACTTATCCTGCAGCAGGGCCAGGATGATGGTGTTAAAAGCAGAGCTGAAATCCACAAACAGGATCCTGCCGCAGGTTCCTGGGGAGTCCAGGTGCTTGAGGATGTAGTGAAGGGCCATGTTTACAGCATCGTCTACAGACCTGTTGGATCTGTAGGCGAACTGCAGGGGGTCCAGGAGTGGGTCTGTAAGGGATTTTAGGTGGGCGAACACAAGGCGTTCAAAGGACTTCATAACCACAGAGGTCAGGGCGATGGGTCTGTAGTCGTTTAGTCCAGTGGTCCTTGGTTTCTTGGGTACAGGGATGATTGTGGAGGCTTTGAAGCAGGCTGGCACATGTCATGTCCAGTGAGGTGTTAAAAATGTCTATGAACACCGGAGACAGCTGATCAGCACAGTGCTTCAGGGTGGATGGGGAGACAGAGTCGGCCCAGCTGCTTTCGGGGTTTCTGCCTCCTGAAAAGACCGTTGACTTCCCTCTCTGTGATGGAGAGGAGGGAGGGGTGGAGCTGGCCAGCTCTGAGGAGGGAGGGGAAGATGTGGTGGACCGAGGCTGAAGCTGAGCAGCAGATTGTTGGTAGCCTTCTTGAAAACATCCCAGTCAGTGCAGTCCAAACCTGCCTGGAGGTCGTCCACAGCTTCACTGGTCCACTTCTTTGATGTCCTCACTACAGGTTTACAAAGCTTTAGTTTTTGCCTGTAAGCGGGAATCAGAATGTCCCAGTGGAGCGCGTGTGACGGCGTGATAGGCACTGCTAACTGTGGTGTAGCAGTGATCTAAAGTGTTCCCCTCTCTGGTTGGACACTTTATAAACTGTCTGTATTTGGAGAGTTCTTGGCTGAGATTTCCCGTTAAAGTCACCGAGAACAATAACAAGGGAGTCTGGGTTTGTCTGCTCCACACACAGTATCCGGTCGGCCAGCATGCGCTGTGCGTCCTGAACGTTGGTGTGCGGCGAGATGTAATGGGGTGGTGATGGCGCATAGAGAAGATGCTTGCCTTTGGTGTGGGAGACACGTAATCCCTAGTTGCTCCAGAGGCGTGCAACCTCTGAGATGTATAGCAATTTGTATGTCGCTTTGGATAAAAGTGTCAGCACCGACCAGAGTGAATGAAGCAAACTCACGGGGGGAGAAAAACGGTTTACAGTTAATGATAAGAATTTTCAGATTAGGAGAACAGTGCTGCTGAATCACTGTCACGTTGGTTAATATAAAAACAGACAACTCCACCTTTTGTTTTGTGTCGCGGTCCGCTCTGTACAGTTGGAAGCCTGCCAGCTGCAGCGCGGAGTCCGGTATCAGTTCAGACAGCCACGTCTCCGTGAAGCACAGAACAGAAGATGAATAAAAGTCTCTGTTTTTCCCCACCAGAAGCTGAAGTTTGTCCGCCGGCGAAGACGCACAAGCGACCCGGCTCTTTTCTCTCTCCTGCAGAGCTTTACAGCGCGAACGACAGCGAGCGAGCCCTTCACCAAAATGTCCAATAATTCCACTGATGACGCAAGAAAAGTGGGAATTAAATCCGTTGTTGTTGTTGAGTTGTTCCTCTGATGTTCATGAGCTCCTCCCTGGTGAAAGAGCACCGGGAATCACAGCTGAAAACTGAATTAACACACAAAAACAAAACAAAACAAAGCGCACTTAACACCAAGGCAGCTATACTCAGCGCCATCTTTTTATGTTATTTGCCGTCAAGGCCGTTAGATCATTCTAACTGCTAAAATCCACTGACTCCGGCTATGGCGCGTTAGGGCTGCGCCGCGGTTGCCGAACACCGGAGCTAGTCGTGACCATTATAGTCAATGCTCGTGAGTCCACCAGACGCGGCCGCAGCGCATCACAGAAGCGTCCCAGAAGTGGCTCTCCGCTCCGCAGAGGATAGGTGCCGCTAACCGCGTCAAGCAGCACAGAGCAGATGCATAGCAGAAGCACAAAATGCAAACACTGATTACTAAATCAACAAATTGTAAACATGTCAGTAAAATCAGGTAGGCAAAATGCTCTGATTCTGAAATGCTCCTTGTAGGAAATGCAGCCTGAAGATTACGGAACGAAACGGGGTCACCTAGAGGTGTGCAGAAGGTAGTAGAAGCACGAAAATGACCAATTAATAACAAGTCAATAAGGTGGCGCAGGCTGCACGCTACGCTGCTGAAACGCTTCTGAGACTCTTCCAGTGGACTTTGACGCCGGGCTATGGACGCGTATTTTGAATAAATTCATGAAAAAACTATTTTTTTGTCTGACCGTATATTATCACAGTAAAACCAAAAAAATCCATCTGACTGGTGGTGGAAAATGGATTTGCGTGATATGAAAATTAACCTCATTTGCATATTAAGTCATATAAAATAATAAACATTTTAATAACACAGCATTTATTTATGTTTACTTTCATCTTGTAAAGTTTCACTGTGATCATCATATCTAATAAGCTCTTCATGCATTTTGTGTGTAAGCGCAGAAAACAGCAGCTTGGAGGATCTGTAAATACTGGAAGGATAACAACATGCTCATATTCATAGCCTCAAGTGTTCAGGCTCTGCAGTCTGTGCTGCTCTCTGCTGGACAACACCGACATGTTAAACAGCTCTTCATGGAAAATAAAGTCACATTGAAAAACATTTCAATCAGCTAATAAAGACAAAATAACTGTGTCCTTTAACAGAGGTTTTCTTTAATCATAACTCAGTAAAAGCAATATCAAAAAGTCAAAGTGACAAGTTCATCAAATATGGAACAAAACAAAGTAACCTTTATTTACTTTAACACTCGGTGCTTCACAGCTACACAACAAAACAGACTACATACAAATACACAAACACCACAGAAAGCACTGCTGTAAAATCTCTGTTGTGAGACCGGGTGACTCAAAGGTTTCACATTTCAGAAAGCTAATAAGCATGCCGACTAGTGAATACTTAGCAGGTATTTATCTACTACAAACCCATCTCTGTCCTACAGCTGGTTCATTTATGTTTCATGTTAAATGAAGTCCTGAGCTGGTTACACGTGGCAGTTGGAGCCGGGCAGCAGGTCGGGTTTGTGCCCGCCGCTGCTTCCGCGCCGGCTGGGCAGAGGGCTCTCGTCTCCCCCTTGCAGACCCCCAATCATGGAGCCCAGGGTCCCGTGGCTGCTGCCGTACGGCTCCACCTGAGCCGCCACGCTCAGGCCGGGCTTGTCCGTCCGAGGCCGCGGCGGGGTTTGGTTCAACACTGAGGAGGGAAGGGAGACTGGGGTGGTGGCGTTCTCACTGAGGCTCTGCACTGTCACTGATGACTGGCACAGAGGTACGTATGTAAGGTCAGTTCATGACATGATATAATAATAGATCACATTCAATTCATCTTCTACCAACACAGGCTCAAGGTGCACGATTATAGTCTGCAGAGGCAGCGTCACTGGGTGGAGCCATCCAACCACATCTAGCCTTATGAATGAAGAGGGCTGGCTGACATGCTTAGCTGGACGTGTCCATTTCCGTTGAGATTTGGACATTGCAGTCACTGATCAGCCCAGAAAATATGTTCAGGGAAGAATTTTGAGAATATGAACTCACCAGAAAAAGGCGAGTGAGTATGGATATACAGATTTTAAATATGAGACAATGAGAAGAAACCCCTATCTGACATAATTCTTAACACTACCTATGATGTCCTTCCATCTGGTGAGTGGGTGTTTTCAACATTCTTCCTAATACAAAGGCTGAAAACTAAAATGTCCAGATACTAGGAGACGCGATCCATGATCAGAATCAGGATCAGGGCTACTCTGCAGGTAAGCTGCAGGTAAACTGCAGAAACACATGGAGGGAGAGTTGCCAACTTTAAACCCAGGGTTAGGATATAAACCTCCTATGGCATGGGAACAGCATGTGTGAGCTTTGAGTGTTGGAGTTCCACTTAGTGAAGCTGCAGAAATATTTATGCCATGTTCACATCACATGGGACGGAGGGCAGTGATGGGAAGACAGCTTGTCAGTAAGTAATAAGTCAGTTTGTTGAGTGGTGTGTTAAAAATGATTTACTAATAAATATAAAGAAAACAGCGGAGATCATATTCGATCCAAAAGGTATTGGGGACCATCATCAAGTGGTCATACATGACCAAAACATCACCCAAACGCAGACTTACAAGTATTTGGGTGTTTATATAGACAGCTCACTTACTTGGAAAACTCACACGGAATGGGTTTGCACACGGCTGCACCAGAGACTATATTTTTTACGTAGATTACGTTTTTATGGGGTGAATAAGAAAATTATGATGCTGTTCTACAAGGCTGTTTTAGAAAGTATTGTTAAGTATGGTGTTACAGTACATATAATATAATACAGCTAAAATCCAAATTGTCACATCTGGTGTTGACAGCACTGAAAACAGTTGGAAATGAGGAATCTTTGAATCTCCAACAGTTATTTGAGAATAGCACTTTAAATCAGGTGCAGAAAATTGTGGGGGACCAAACTCACTTTCTGCACTCTCAGTATGAATTGCTCCCCTCCGGCAGAAGATATAGAGTTCCACTGTGCAAACTAAACCAGTATAAAAATTCTTTTGTTCCTGTGTCTACACGTATGTTGAATAATAGTCTATCTTATTAATTTTAAATTTGTAAATTAATTGTCTTTCCTCTTCTTATACTTTTTATACTTGTATATTGTATATTTCTATGTACATGCAGCAACCATGCAGTCCAAAACAAATTTCCTTTCGAGGACAATAAAGTATACTACTACTACTACAGCTGTATGATTGCACGTTGGTTTTGTGTGCACTGACGGTAAACTGTCACACGATATCCATTCAACGTGTTTAATTACCTAGAATGACTTTGGCCGACGTGATCATTGCAACTGGAAAACTTCAGTAACTCCCATAGGACATGAACATGGCATAATAACTAATTCAACATGCTGAACAATTCATACAAGTGCACAAAACATATCAACACATTTACAGAATCACATGGAAACTCACATAATTACATGGACACGTCAGATAAAAACAGAGAACGAGGAGCAAAGAACGTTCTGACAAACATCTGGAAAAGTGAACCAGTTCAACTCACGTTGCCGACAGAGATCTCGCTGCCCGCCACCGGCTTCTTTTTCCTGGACTTGTTGGGGTTCCAGTGACAAACCAGACTGTCGTTCTGCACGCTGTAGTTCTTATGGCCAATCAGCCAGTAGGTGTTCATCTTGCCTTTACCCTGGCAGGAGGAGGAACGACACAAGAGTGGGTTCAGGAGGCAGACCCAGTCTCCACATTTAAGAGTAGGCTTAAGACTTTCCTCTTTGATAAAGCTTATAGTTAGGGCTGGCTCAGGTAGTCCTGAACCATCCCTTAGTTATGCTGCTATAGGCCTAGACTGTCGGGGGATTTCCCATGATGCACTGAGCTCCTCTCTCCTCTACTTTCTCTCCCTCTGTATGCAACCTCATCCCATTATTGCATGTTACTAACACAACTTCTCCCCTTTCTGGTAGTCTTGTGCTTTCTCGTCCCTCTCCTCTCTCCTCCTATCACTTCCTGCAGGTTTTCTGGCTCTGGAGCTGTGGAGTCTGGATCTATGGCTGCGGGTCACCTGTTGTTCCTGCTCGACACCCTCTGCTGCAACAACTATTGTTGCTAGTCCTGTTGTTATTATTGTTATTATAATCATTAACATTACGATTGTTACCATTAACACTACTATAAATATCTGTACCATTTTTCATTTAGTCTATAGCAACATCACATTTACTGTCTGTACCTCTGTGTGTATATTATGTAGGCTGCCTCCCTCTCCCTCTCTCTCTTTCTCTCTGTTCCTCTCTTGCCCTCTTCCTCTCTCTCTCTCTCTCTCTCTCCCTCTCTCTCTCCTTCATCCCCAACCGGTCGAGGCAGATGGCCGCCCACCCTGAGCCATGGTTCTGCTCGAGGTTTATGCCTCTTAAAAGGAAGTTTTTCCTTGCCTCTGTCACCTAGTGCTGCTCTTGGTGGGAATTGTTGGGTTTCTGTAAATAAAATCACAGAGTATGATCTAGACCTGCTCTTTTTAAAAAGTGCTCTAAGATAACTGTTGTTGTGATTTGGCGCTATAAAAATAAAATTGAATTCAATTCAATTCAAAAGAGGAGCAGTGACTGCCGTAGAGAAATATAAATGGTTTGTTCACCCAGAGTAAAAACAACCAGGGTTTGGTTTCAGATATCTGTCTTCTGGCAAATTAAACACCAACTAGTTCTGCACATGAGCAGACAGACTGTGTGAGAAGATGTATGTGATTTGGGTGAACAAACCGTTTCATTTTGTAACTCAGCAAATGTTGTATGAACCTTTAAAATGACAAAAAAAAAGAAAAGGCTTCTTCGATGTGACAATTTTACGACACGTCTGGGATATTTTACCTTGACCTCAATCTCTCCTCGAAGCTGCAGCTCGTAGGCGTTGTCTTTGATCAGAGCCAAGTAGGTTTCTGAGCTGGTGTGGATTCTCTGAGCTGACACACAAACAACAAGAAATACAGTTAAACACAACTGAGGCCAAAGTCACGCTGTGTAGAAACACTCTGCTGTCTGCACTAGCGTCCTACAAATACAGACTTAAATGTCGAGTTTCCTCTGTAACTGTGTGAGGTGTGTAGCGCTGCATACACACAGTGTGTTTGTGTATTGTGTGTGTGTGTGATGTGTGTAGCGCTGCATGCACACAGTGTGTTTGTGTATTGTGTGTCCAGGTGCACATACGCAGGCTGGTGGATTCCATTCTAGAGGCTGTGTTGACCGTGTCGCCAAACAGACAGTATCTTGGCATCTTGTAGCCCACTATCCCCGCCACACATGGACCTTTAGAGCGAAGAGGGGAAAAACAGCTGTGCTTTACTTTGCTGCAAGTACTTTAATACATCCCATAATGCAACAGGGCTGGAGAAGAACAACATACTGTCTCTTCAAATAAAACTAATCTAAATCAGACTTTACAGCTATGTTAACAGCTCTGTGAGGCTGTACATGGACACACACACTGCTAAATGCTAACAATAGCATGCTAACATGCTCACACAAACACCACATCCCTGTGTTTTTTAAACCCAAGAACACGCTAAGACAGATACTGGTAGACCCCAAAGACCGCACAACCACACACAAGAAAAGCAATCTAGTGTATGCGGTCCAATGCAGTGAGGAATGCACAGACCTGTACATTGGGGAGACTAAACAACCACTACACAAACGCATGGCTCAACACAGAACTCCTCAGGTCAGGACTCTCATTTGAGGATCACCAGGTGCACATTTAGACAGAGAAGATGGATGGTTTGAAAGAGGTGTCAGGCAGGGACGTGCACAGGAATTTTGAAGGGCAGTTGCTCTGACCTGAAAAAAGGCACTAAACACAGTATCCAAAATGTATTAACAATATAAATGTCACCAAAATACATATGAGAAAAAGAGTTCCTTATATTATTGTTTATTGTTTTTTTTAATCATTATTATTTTTTATTTTTTTTCCTTTTTTTTTTTTATTTGAAAATAAATAATCTAGATTGAATTGACAGATGGGGAAAACTCGCTTCTAATAAAATATTAAATAAAAAAACGCTTAGATTTCGGAAAAAAATACAATCCTTTTTTAACCTTTTGGCTTCCCGTACATTCAGTTGCGCTTCTAGCTCGTATTCACTTCTGTTGGTACGTATCACGTATGGTAACTGGGCAAAACTACGCATGATTTGTTGTAGTATGATTGCATAAAGGAAGGAAACAGGAATTCCGGTAGGGAACAGAATCGACTGACGTGCAGGCAGCGCTGCAGCAGTGCAGCCACTTAAACAGAGTTTGCTCTTCCCCTGCTGAATGGAAGTGAATGAGGCTTTGCGATCGCGATTATTTTTTTATTTTTTATTTTTTTCTCGGAAGGGCAACTTGAGTCAGGAAAGGCAAACGGGCAGTTGCCCGGGCAACCAGAGCAACCCCCCTGTGCACGTCCCTGGTGTCAGGGAAGCCATTTACACCTGGGTTGAGAAGCCGTTTCTGAACAGAGGAGGGGGTCTACGCCACCACTTATCCCCCACTTACAATGCTGTCCTTTCATCACTTCCCAGGAAACTCAACAAGCATTTCCTCTTGGTCTCAGATGAGGATGCCAACGACGGTCAATCAGACTTGGCCATGGGTGGCTGTAACGACCAAGACGACTGTCGTTACGACAGCCAGGAGCTCTAACAAACCAGCGGTATCGATGATCCTAGCTAATGATCCCAGAGGTTAAATAGCTGAGTTTCCCTACCAGTCAGTCAGAATGAAGAAACTCATCCAAGAAGTCTCTTGGATGAGTTCGAAGAACGAAACGTCTTCTAGTATCTTCGACCAAGTCCAGCTGCCCTTGACCTCAACCTTCATTGGATAACTATGACCTGGATGACTGAGAACCTTCACAGACATCTTGAGGAGTAAGGATGACAACCCCACAACAAGGGAAACAGATAACAGAAGGGTGAAAAATCTGTCAGATAGGGAACTCACCCAACCACAGCAGCTACCTATAGTGGACCTCATCACAGCAACAGAATCGGCCATTAGGAAAAACTATTCAACAGAAACAGAAGCAGAACAGCTCAGGCCAAAGGTATCAGCAGCCCTTACTAAGGAACTCCCTTCTAACCTGACCATCCAAGAAATGAGATCTGTGACATCACTGAGCAAGGATCAAAACATAACCATCTTACCTTCGGACAAAGGAAGATGCATGGTAGTCCTTAACACAGTGGACTACCAGGAAAAAGTCAATACACTACTAATAGACACAAACACATATGAGACACTGAGACGGGACCCAACCAGCAGGCACAAGAAAAAGGCCATAGAATGTCTACAACAACTTCAGAAAGAAAACTCCTTCACCCGAGAACAATATTACCGTTTGTATCCTGGAGAAGCCATTCCTTGCATATATGGACTACCCAAGATACACAAAGAAGGAGCCCCACTCAGGCCGATTATCAGCAGCATCAACTCGGTCACCTACAACATTGCCAAACACATATCTTAGCCCCTTTGGTTAGTAACACAGCCCATCACATCCAAAATTCCATTGACTTTGTAAACAAAGTTCGAGGATTGGAACTTGACCCAGATGAAACCATGGTGTCCTATGATGTCACCTCTTTGTTCACCTGCATCCCCACCATGGAGGCAGTAGAATCCATAAGGAAACAGCTACTACAAGACAACACCCTGGAAAACAGAACTAACCTCAGGCCTGACTAGATCTGTAAATTACTCAACCTCTGTCTAAACACCACCTATTTCCAGAACAACGAAGGATTCTACAGACAAAGGAAAGGTTTACAGGAAACCCACACACACAGACCAATCCTTATTTTTTGATTCCCACCACCCACTGCAGCACAAGCTAAGAGTCATCAGAACCCTGCACCACAGAGTAGACAACATACCAACAAGTGCAGAAGCCAGAGAGAAGGAACAGAACCACCTGAAGGATATAGCCTGTGGATACCCTAAATGGACCTTTGTGAAAAACAGCCACAAAATCCTGAAAGAAGACCAACACTACAGGGGATGAGGAGAAGAAGGTCAAACAAATGTGTACTAAGTATTAGAGAAACTCAACAAACACAACATCCCTGTGTTTTTTAAACCCAAGAACACACTAAGACAGATACTGTACACCCCAAAGACCGCACACCCAAACACAAGAAAAGCAATCTAGTGTATGCGGTCCAATGCAGTGAGGAATGCACAGACCTGTATATTGGGGAGACTAAACAACCACTACACAAACGCATGGCTCAACACAGAAGGGCCAACTCCTCAGGTCAAGACTCTGCTGTCTACTTACATCTGAAGGACAGAGGACACTCGTTTGAGGACCACCAGGTGCACATTTTAGACAGAGAAGATGGATGGTTTGAAAGAGGTGTCAAGGAAGCATCTACACCAGGGTTGAGAAGCCGTCGCTGAACAGAGGAGGGGGTCTACGCCACCTTCATTGGATAACTATGACCTAGATGACTGAGAACCTTCACAGACATGCTCACATTGACAATGTTCAGCATGTAGCTAACAGAATAATGCTAAAAATAAAAACATAAACACTCTCCAACCAGCACATTAGTTTAAATAAATGTTGTGAAAGCAGGAACGTCTGTAAATCTGTTTCTCCTTCAGTTTATTAAATCCCCGCAGACATCGGAACACATCACTGGAACACATGCAGACTCTTATTGATGAATATCGTCACAAATATTATGGATATATAATATTATGGTGATTAGTTTTTAGAGCACTTGTTGGCCAAGTGGACTATTTGACCTCAGGGTGACGCTAGAGGTAAGGTCAAAGGATCACAATCATCCTGACCATGAAAATCCACCATCACTGTGCTGATCAATATCCCTATCAGTCCCTGCACAGGTGATCCTTCTGTGTTCCTCTCACCTGTGTGGATGCCTGCCCTGAGTTGCAACCTGTGGTTCGGCATGTGAGGGATGGAGACCTGTCTCACGGCTGCTACCAGATCCAACGCCATCTTGGCGATCTCGTCAGCGTGTCTATCGCCATTCCTCTCAGGCAGCCCGCTCACCACCATGTAGGCGTCCCCAATCGTCTCCACCTGGTTTGATAAAAGTTTGTTCAAATGAAACTCAAGAACCAAACACACCGGGATGATACGTAGACCAATCAGGAACTCAGAAGATATTTTTATAACAACTTTCATTACTGAAAACCGGAAGAACAAAAACAGAAAGTGGAACGTTTGTCCAGCGAGGAGCAGGAAGGCTTCACCTTGTTGTCTGAGAGCAACGAAATGTCAAAATTCATCTTACTTGAAGCTCATTCAAGCTAATTTGTCTCCAGCTAATTAAGAAGAAAATAAACAAAACTAAATCAAGGTGCACATTTAATTTTTTTAGTAATTTACAAATAAGAAGTCATCTTGGAAAAGAATTGTGGCTTTATAAAACAGTAAAGGAGAGCAACCCACTAATAACTTCAAAACATCCAACAGGGTGAATACAGAAGATGTACTGGGTCAGGTACATCAGACTGTGGAGGAGGAGGAGCACACATGAAGCAGGAGAACCATAGCCTGCTCTTTCCTAGCTATAAAACACACCTACCAGCTCTTTGTGGGGAGGGGGGGCGGCTACATGCTAGATCTATTTATTGATAAACAGGCAGGTATATCACATTTCTCATCATTGTCAATCTGATCAGACCCTGTAACTCTGCTCAGCTGATATCAATGTACAGATAAACTGAGAGCAACACTCCTGCTGCCACAGGCAATACTTTTAGTCGAGTGCTAATTTGAATGAATAACATTAATGGTGGCTCTGGCCTGTTGAAGTGTTGTGATGTTAGTGAGTCAGCGTGCACAGGACCAACACCAGGACCCTGTCACTACCAGATTTAACTGGATATTGATCTGTGCTTTTCCTGCTTTGACATGTCCAAATTACTGACGGGTTTGGCTCAGGGAGATTTTTCCCACATACAATAGAATCTGTATTGTCACTGTACAGAATGAAATTGAATGTAATCCGATCAGTGCATCATCAGCAAAGTGCAAAACAGGTATATAAAAGTAGCTATTAAAATTTCTTTGACAAATAAAGAGAGAAATATTCTAAAAGGAAAGTAAAACAACATCATACACACAAAACATTTCCTTGCATGATCCATTCCTTGATACTGCATTACTAGTGTTTAAAGCTATTTTTTAAGCTATAAGCCCGAGTGTGGCTGGGAACTTCCCGATACCAGCGGAGCTGGGAACCCTTTTGGAATCGTTCTGGTTTTTATTATTTTCATTCTTCCGTACATAAAACGGATACTATGGCCTAGATGGTAAGTGCTACAGACGCAAAACTCAGGGGGTAGGTTCACAGCCCCAAGAGTACACCTCAGGTGCAAAAATCTGCACACTCCTACCACTAGGTGGCGCTAAAAGTGACATAATTGCGTTTGGCCTTGGAGCTCCTGCATACGAAGGCGAATATCAAAAACCTTATATCCACGCGTGTGGGGGATCGAGCTGAATCTTGTGGTATAGGCCACAGCCATTTCCGTCTATAGTTTTTTCTGCAAAATCGCGAAAACTGAAAAACCTATTGTATAGCCGTCTTCACATTGTGACCCTCTGCAGACAGGCTGCAGAAAACATTCAACACATCAACACACTGTCATTTCCGTTCATCTGTGCTGCATTAATGCAGTTCTTCACTGTGGCAGACGTGTGGATTCAGCGGCAGCGCTGTCTGCAGGTGGAGAATAAGGCTGGTCAACACATGCTCTTTCTCTGCTGCAGGGTTTATGGTGAGGCCGGGGCTACAGGTGCACACACTACAACTGCACACAGTGTAACTGGGGACTGCTGCTTGGTTTACAGTAAAGCATGTGTGTGCTGCTTCTGTACTCATTTGTCCACAGCCTGGGAATCAATTTGTGTTACATTTAGACAAATCTAAACCTCTCCCATTCTTCAGCCATCTGAGTGTGTGCTTAATTGTTCAATATTTGAGGATATTTGCTTCTTATTGAGAGCGGGACGTTCAGATGGATCTCAGTCTCCTGTCTGTGTGTGTTACAGTACAGAGCTGGAGTCAGGATGTGGTTAGCTTAGCTTAGTATAAAGACTCAAAACAGGGGGAAGCAGCTAGTCAGCTCTTGGCTTTTCCCCGAAATGTTATACAAAAGTCAGTGTGTGAATTTTCTTTGTGTACATGTCATTGTTACCTTGTAGACGTTGTAGGAGTCGATGCGTGTGTCGAAGCACATATAGAGGTTGTTGAGCATCTCCACCACCTGCAGAGGAGTGCAGGACGCAGAGATGGAGGTGAAGCCCACAATGTCTGAGAAGAAGATGGTGACCTGAAACAAAACAGAGAGACGTGACGCAGACATGCACTCAGTGTCCTGTTCATCAGAACCACCACGCTAAAACTAATGCAGTCTGATGCAACAGTCTCACTATGCAGCCTCCCTCTCTGTAAACTGCAATGCAGTTCAACAGCAGGATAAGCTGCATCCTCTTTAATGATGCTACAGTTGAATCAACACGTCTCTGAAACAGTTTCAACACAACCTGAACATCAGAGCCTTCACAGGCAGCAGGTGTCACATGGGAGCTGGACAGCACCCTTCAGGGCTCAGTGAGTCCGCTCAGCTTGGAACCAGAAGAATCCCTGGGTCGAGGTTCTTTCCAGAATACTCAAGAGCTCCACATCAGTATAAAAATGAGCCTCTGATCCTAATCAGTAATACCCCCCTCCCTCCTCGTGCAGAGTGCTTTGGGTACAGCTGCTTCAAACCTCTTCAATAAGCCAGACACAGTTTTCACAAATATAACTTGTTTTATCTCATGATGAATATGGAACAGGGCAATTATAGGTAATTACGCCAACAATAGCAACAAAGGCAGCAAACACACACATTCATTCATCGCGTTCGCAGATCTTGGGAGAGGAAGCCTACTCGCAGCAGAAGCACACAAACCTCCCAACGTTACAAGCTCAGATTCTAGTAAATGTTCAGAGTGAAAATGGAGGGGAAAGGTTGTTCAGCTTTGCTTTAAGGTTTGCATACACTGTGAGCTGCGGTTGTTTTTACTGTACCTTGTTGTGTTTCCCTTATGGACATTTACACGTCAAATATACAGAATAAATATATACAGTACATATATATAATTCTATTATCTTGTTTAACTTTAACACAATAACACTTCCATCAACACTTTAATACCCTTTGGTTCCCAGCCTTGTGGAAAGAAAGATTGTAGGAAGACGAAGCAGAGGGACAAAGTTGTTTTCCAAGTCACAAGTAAGTTCAAGTTTCAAGTCAAAGCCAATAAGTCCAAAGGATCGATTAAAGCCCCATGTTTCAGGTAGTGTGTATGAAGTATTTCAAGTCCAGTGAAAAAACTTAAATGGTACCAAAGTAAGCAGCAATCTGCCAAAGTTAAAAACGTTTACGTCAACAAAACAGACATTTTCAGATCTAAATGAAGGAGTTTTGTTCATTATTTCACTGTAGGATCAACTGATGACCAGCTGCTCCGTCTTCCTTCATTAATATTATATACAATATATAATATAGTCCAAATAAAGCTTCTGAGGGTGGATTAACAGGCTGTTCCAAGGTGTTTACTGTAGAAATGTTTCATTTCCTTCCACTGCTGCAGAATAACCAAAGAAGGTAAAGACAAAGTTTAGGTCAGAAAAAATGAGAAAATACTGTAAATTTCAGAGATATACAGTTTGCAGCGATCAATAATGAGTTAAACTAGAAAAATAGGGGTGTTCTAAAACACCGGTAGTGTATATCTGTTTATAAAGTTGATTCACTTTTTTATAGCATCAATTTTAATCATGTGTCTTGTCCAAGTCAAAAGTCCAAATGAAAAGAAAGGGGAAGAAGTCTTTTTCATCCAGGGTTTGCTGAGCCAACACAGGGAGCTTCTTCAAATGAATCATGTGCAGGTGTCTGTCTGAACACTTTCATACAAAATATGGCTGCATCTATAAAGCGCCTTACAGCTGGACAATTAGGTGCAGACCATCGGGAGCACTTTGGGGTTCATTGTCTTGCCCGGGAACACTTCAAAATGTAGACAGGTGGAGCTGGGGATGCAACCTCCAGCCCTGTGATTGGTGGACGGCCTGCCCAACTTCCTGAGCCACAACTACCCTTAATATCTGCCCATCTGGTCTACTGGCTGCCGAGCAGCTCCACAGGTGGCGCTCGTGCTGAAGGGCAATGCTACTCTTTCTCAGATCTCCCTGCAGGTCCAGGGATCAAACTAATGACTTCAGTCCAAGCTTTGCTCACCTCCGGTTGCTTACCTAACCTCTGCCCAAAGTCCTGTGATTCAACATCTGTTCACAATCAACTTGGGGATATAAAGCTTTTACTATTATTTTTGCTTGAACACAAGAGAGCATTGTTGCCCCCATGCTTCTTGTTAATTCTTCACACTGCTGTAGAAAGAACTTTACAAAGCCAGACTACACATCTCAAACTCAGTCACCCCGACTAGATTTCAGTCTGGAGAACAGCCACTGAGGATCAGCATCAGCATGTTTCTGACTATTGAACAGCTATTAAAACAAAAAAATGAAAGATGCAAAATAAACTATGATTCTTCATTTACATAGACACACATACAGTTTCTCATCTCAAATGTATGTTGAAGCTGGTGTAGGAAACTTTTAGGGCGATGTTGTTCTTGAACACTGATTTTTGGTAACTTACGGTTATTGGGTCACATGGGTGGCCAGTAGCAATTTGGGAAACCATGGGTAGTTGGGATGAGGAGAGAGGGGGTGATAGGTCAAAACCTAATTATTGCTGACTGCCGTTCATCTTATTCATTGCATTTTATGGACTTTATTGCTGTTGGACACTTGTGTATCTGTGACAGTTTGGACCTTTGGACAGTTTGGACCTTTGGACAGTTTGGACATGTGACAGTTTGGACCTTGTTGGATGCTTAATGGATGCTATCACCTGTCTACCTCCAATAAACTACCAAACGAAGCAAATGCATGTTGATTCTTCAGACAGTCAGCATTCTCTTGCCGACTACATTTATGTCTCCTATAGCTGGTTCCGGTATATAGTTTAGGTCTAGTTTAACTGCCTTTTCATGGGCAAAGACCAATGACAGGCCAGCAAGCAGCATGTTGGTCCATTCAGTATAAAAAGGGTCTGAGCAGTAGCAGTCATCTCCTGTCCTGGGCGAACGCCTACTTGAACCATTCTCAACCACAGTCAGAGAAGCACAAATGAATACACTCTTTGTGATCGCACCAACCTTTTCGTAGCTCTCGGCCTTGACGTGTTTTTGCTGGCGGAGCTGCTTGGCGACTGACTTGGGCAGCATTTGGTGCAGCAGGTCCTCGGCCAGCTTCCTCTGGCGCTTCAGGTCCTCACTCTTCTCCTTCAAGCTCTGGGCGTAGTTCTGTATCCACTCGGCCATCTGCTTGAAGGAGAACATCGCCACCGGGTAGATGAGGCAGGCCATAGCCAGCAGGCAGACCCTCATACTGAGGACCGAAGACACGGACCGAGACGCCAACCTGAGGGCCGGCACCGCCCGATCAAACAAGCACTGCTGAGTGTTTGTCAGAGCCAGAACTCCAGCCTGGGACCCAGACATAAGCTCTGATCCTGCTCCAGAGATCTGCCACAGACTCGAGTCAAAGATCCAAGACTGTTTTGAGTTGACCTTGAGGTCTATGCTCTCTAACCAGCAGTCATTCAGTCGTTCTGTCATAACCATGGCAAAGCCCAGGTATCTGAGTACGTAAGTCCACTTGTACTGGAAGTCAGCATGAGTTGCCATGTGGGGGAAGTCCATCACCTGGTGGTTCAGCTCTATGAATGTCACCAGAAGTCTTGCAGCCAGCACGTCTCCCCAGTTAGGAATCTGTTTGGCTTTGACTAAACTATCCTCCACCGTACCCCAGGTGTCCAGGAATCTGCCGATGACCTGGGTGTACACAGAGGTACCATTTTCATCGGTGCCATTTGTATCCAATGAAGTATTTAGAAATCCTTCGACACTCCTACTCATCTCTGGGCAAAATCCAGCCAGCTCAGTACTGCAGGAATGCCCGTGGCTGTTACTGTCAGCCACCGTTTCACCACAGAGAGCACTGAACACAGGAAACACTACGTGTGAGAAACCTGCCTCCTGTGTCTCATTGGTAAATAAACGCCTCATCCTTTGAAACTTACTGACGAGTTGCAGAATAGCTATCGTCCTGCATGAAGCCAGCTCGTCATAAGCCACCTCCGTGGTGTGCAGCAGGTCAAAGTTGGAGCTGAGATCGATGGATACTGAGCCAAGCAGCGCCAGGAAGGAGAGGAGGCAGGCTATCAGAATCCGACGAACAGTGCGACTAATACCAGACGGCACAAACAAGGAACACCTGGAAAAATAGGAACACAACAAGTGAGTTAGTGAGGGAGGCATTGGGGTTCAGGGAGCTTCACAAGCATCGTCCAAACTGATCTAAAAGCAGAACTGAACTTTCCCCCCTACACACCTGCGTCGTGCTGGGGCCACATTTCTTCTGTTGTTGGTTTTGGCAAGCTACAATATGTATGGGGGGTTCAGACAGTGTTGGACTTTGAGGCATACTGACTCCTTGAGGCCAGCAACAGAGACAGGTATGTGGTCTCAGAGGGATCGACTTGAGAAATTTATAAGCTCCAATATTCATAATCATGCACCTTTGATAGATAGATAGATACTTTATTTATCCCAAGGGAAATTCACACCTTGCACCTTGATTTCACCACTGATCGATTAAATAAACACAGCTGCCTGAATGTTAAACCATATCTGTGTGAGCAGGTCCTAATCCAGAACAGAGCACGTTGTCTGTGTGAGCAGGTCCTGATCCAGTTCTGAGCAGGTCCTGACCATGACCTGAGCATGGTGTCTTTGTGAGCAGGTCCTGATCCTGACCTGAACATGGTGTGTGTTTGAGCAGGTCCTGATCCTGACCTGAGCAGGTCCTGACCGTGACCTGAGCATGGTGTCTTTATGAGCAGGTCCTGATCCTGACCTGAGGATGGTGTCAGTGTGAACTATCTAAACTTTCTGAGCTCAAAGCTGACCTGAGCAGGTCCTGACCGGAACCTGCGGTCGGTGTTTGTGTAAGCAGGTCCTGATCCAGACCTGAGGAGGTCCTGACCGGAACCTGCGGTCGGTGTTTGTGTAAGCAGGTACTGATCCAGACCTGAGCAGGTCCTGACTGTGACCTGAGCATGGTGTCTTTGTGAGCAGGTCCTGATCCTGACCTGAACATGGTGTGTGTTTGAGCAGGTCCTGATCCTGACCTGAGCAGGTCCTGACCGTGACCTGAGCATGGTGTCTTTGTGAGCAGGTCCTGATCCTGACCTGAACATGGTGTGTGTTTGAGCAGGTCCTGATCCTGACCTGAGCAGGTCCTGACCGTGACCTGAGCATGGTGTCTTTGTGAGCAGGTCCTGATCCTGACCTGAACATGGTGTGTTTGAGCAGGTCCTGATCCTGACCTGAGCAGGTCCTGACCGTGACCTGAGCATGGTGTCTTTGTGAGCAGGTCCTGATCCTGACCTGAACATGGTGTGTGTTTGAGCAGGTCCTGATCCTGACCTGAGCAGGTCCTCACCGGAACCTGCGGTCGGTGTTTGTGTAAGCAGGTCCTGATCCAGACCTGAGGAGGTCCTGACCGGGACCTGAGGTCGGTGTTTGTGTAAGCAGGTCCTGATCCAGACCTGAGCAAGTCCTGACCGGGACCTGAGGTCGGTGTTTGTGTAAGCAGGTACTGATCCAGACCTGAGGAGGTCCTGACCAGGACCTGAGGTCGGTGTTTGTGTAAGCAGGTACTGATCCAGACCTGAGGAGGTCCTGACCAGGAACTGAGATCGGTCTTTGTGTGAGCAGGTCCTGATCCAGACCTGAGCAGGTCCTGACCGGGACCTGAGCTTGTGTCTGTGTGAGCGGGTCCTGATCCAGACCTGGGCACGGTGTCAGTGTGAACTATCTAAACTTTCTGAGCTCAAAGATCAGCCAGCAGCTGGTTCAACTGGTTTATTCCAGAACTTTGGGGTGTCTGTTAACACTTCACTGAGTCTAGACCTGGTCCATATGGCAGTGCCCTGAGATACCTCAGTTATAACCTGGAGCTGTATAAATAAAACTGAACTGAAAGTTCCTGGTTCAGGTTCGTGAGTCTCACCTGCACAGCTGACAGTCGCTGTCCGCATCCTGCTGCCCCCCGGGAGCGACCCTCCTCTTCTTTATGAACCTCCTCTTGAGAGAGGCCGAGGACAGGGTCCCAGCTGCCAAACACTCTTTTTTCATCAAGTCCAGCGATGACATGAGACCTGCGGTTAGTCCAGAACCTCACAGGGGCCTCGCAGCACGCAGTCACCGCAGAGGGGGGACCGGTGTGGCGAACCGCACTGAAGTGATGCCCCGTTAGTTGCTGGGAGCACCAAGTCCGCAGCAGCGTCTGCTCTACTTCCGCCTGCATACTTCAAAGTAAAGGGTTAATGTTAATCAATTAAAACGACCAGATATTTGTTCTGTTTAAAGGGATGGTGAGGGTTCGGGTTATCTGCCTGAGACGGATAACAAACAGTAACTCCATGTTTTAAACTCACACTTTACGTTGCATTGTTTATGAGGAAAACAACCTGTTAAAACGTTTACAGCCCCACTCCTGATTCAGGCTTCCCCAGAATATAATAGGCTTTGAAGAAGAAGAAGAAGAAGAAGAAGAAGAATGTGTAGTATAGTTTATAACAGGCTCTGCACCCTCTCATTTAAGTGAAGCTGGCATTGTTTGTTGCACTTTATTTGTTTTTATTTTGAAAGGGAAATCATTGGCAGGAAGTGATCGCGCTGATAAGCTGCTGCATTTATTCTTAATAAAATAGATGAAGCACGCGCTCTCAATGCTCTTAATGATCCTTAAAGAGTACTATTTAATCTACTGTAACTCAGCTCCCTGGTGTGGACACAGAGGTGTGTTCTTTAATCTCTAAACGCATTGAAATATGGTGCTTTGTGCAAAAACATTTATTTTTATATCAAAGTTGAATGTTTGCAGCACAACATTTGGGTTAAATCTAAAATGAACACGTGACAGCTGCACCAGGTGGTTTTTGCCGCACTGGATGAGCAGGGTTTATGATGTGGAGGTGAACCGAGTCTTCCTCAGTGTGAACTTAATTTGGTTCCTGCGGTAGGACGGAAGTATTAGCGCTCTATTAAAAGACTATCAGCTGATCCGACATCTGCTGTGACTGCTGGGATGTTCACATGCTTCCATTTCCCGTTCAAGTCAAGTCAGTTTTATTTAAACAGATCAATATCTCAAATCACATATTTCCTTCTGAACAGCAGCCGATTCAGATGAGACGAAAACTCTCAAAAAACCTTTAACGAATCAGAATCATCTTTATACAATACTACTTATACAATAATACAATAATACAGTAATCAAACACAGACTACAGCATAGAGAACACACATATCTACACACTATAAACAAAACAGACAGATTGGGACAATAGTGCAACAGTGCCATGAGCAGACATTTACATGTCGTAAACATACATTTGGTATACTGTATATAGGCCTACAATATGACAATATGAACAGTTTTGAAATGGAGAATGATGAATAAATAAATGGTAAATGGTAGCCAGTAAACAGGAATTGTTCCTAACACTGTGAGTCAGAGTCAACTGTTCATCAGAGTGATGGCTTGTGTGACAAATGGAAGAAATAACTCGTGCTTTTACCTAAATGTTATAAAACCCTTATTATCAATGTTTTATTTTAAATATTCTTATTTATTTTATCTTGATTCTGTATAGATGGTTCTCTTTTTGTACTGTGTTTGGTTGTTTTACCTTTGTGCTTACCTGCTGTGCACACCACCTTAAGTTTACCTGTGTGCATGAAACTGCTTTATAAATAAAAGAACTACACTCAGAGTAAAGCTAGCCAGAGTTACTACTCCATAATATCAAGTCGACTTTACCTTCAGAATAAAAGCCTGAGACTGAGCGAGGACCTCACCTCAGGGAAACATGGTCATTTTAAGGCTACCAGCTTTTTTTTAGGAACAGCATTTGGGGGAAAGATTCACTTACTAATATTTTTTCCTGAGCTTTCAATTGCATCTCGCTGTTGTCATGAAAACTTCGATACCATCTCTCAACATTATCAATACTCACTATTATTACTGCTAGGGCATATTTATTCATTACACTTCTATCACCCACTGTAGAATACTGTACATATTCCCCACACTTGTATTTATATTTTTATATTTCTCTTTTCTATTTTCTACTTGCCAGCTTTTTAATTGTTATTTCTAGGCCTATTACTTTAATGCCTAGAATAGCAATGTAGCAATGTAAGCAACTATAACAAAACAATTTCCCCTTCTGGGATCAATAAAGTAGGCTATTTCTGATATTACACACATGGGCTTTAGTTTAATTTAATTATCTCTCTCTACATATTTATCAAACTTATATTACAAATACATGTACGCACAAACACATACAGGCTTTAATTTTGAAGGTTGTTGCCGGAAGTGGTTGACGTCACGCTCTCGCGCTTTGTAAGTGGGCACACGCGCGCGCTCACCGGGAGCACCGTGTCTGTTAGTAGAAAGTAAAACAGTTATGAATCTTTGCTAACTTCGCGGGCCCTCGTGTAACGGGGCTCGGTCTGCCGGCGGAGCATCAGTCGGTGTTACCGGCGGCTCGTCGCCTTTTGGGCGGCGGGACTGTGAGCGAGCGCGGAGCCGCGGAACAAAGAGCTTCTCCGCCTCATTGTTACCGAGCAGAGCCTGTTTGTGCCTCCGGAGCTCCGGCTGGTAAAGTAAGACAACTGAACTAAAACACTTCATCCAGCCAGCAGGTTAAACACTGAGCTGCTTTCACAGGCTAACTGCAAGTTTACTTATTGATTATTAGCAGATAACTGAGGTAACGTATTGATCGGTTTGGAGCCGTTTAACTTGGGAAAAGCTTTCTTTTCGTTAGGGAGTTTGGTTTTAATCAACTGGCTTATAGTCATAACGTTGGGTATTTAAAGCCAGTCAATTTAATAAAACTATACTTCCCAAACAGTCTTAAAGTTACCAGATATTGTAATAATGAGTATTTAATCTATTTAATAACGTTAGTCAGAGTTTGATATCCACACACGTCCACGGCAGCCCAGCGGACTGCGCCTGTGCGGAGATGGTCACGCCAGACTGCATTCTGAAATCTGACAATTCAGGGTTTTCTTCCTCATTTACCAAAAAGATAAGTCATACAGTACGCTCAAAGCTGATTGTACGCACTGGAGAAGCTCGTCACATCGGCATGAATTAAATTCCCGTGTAGAACTGAACTTCCCTGTATTCAACTAAGAGCAAAAGGTCTGAGAAATAAAGTTAACACAGTACAAAAGTAACACGTTATTAGTGGATTGTATCTATGGAAACTTTAAAATTGCTCTCAGAAAATGACAGCACACTGCCAAAACATTGAGCAACATAAACTGCTGT